TGCTGTTGTTGTTGTTGTCACTGTTGTTGTAGCTGTTGCAGTTGTCGCCCATTGTTGCTTCCGTTTGGTGTGGCAGCTTAATGAGCGCGACACCCAAAAGGATTTGCCGCAAAAAGAGTCGCCCTCCGGAATTGCAGACGCGTGTGTGTTTCTCTCTGTGTGTGTGTGTGTGTGTGTGTGTTCCATAAACAAAACCAAATGCTGCCACTGCTGCCTATGTGGTAAGGGGTACAGGGAGTAGGGGGCGGTGAGGGGTAGCTGCTTTTTGGCCTGTGCTCATTTTGTTCCAATTGCGTGAAATTGTTGTGGCAACTTTTGTGGCTCTTACCACACTTATGGCAGCAGCTCTCCGCTTTTGTTTATACTTGGCGAAAAAAAATAAACACAAAACACACACACACACACACACACACACACACACACATGTGCACACACAACCAAAATATGTTCGATTGTGTAAAATTGTGGCAGCTCAGCGATTTTTCACATGTCTCTGTCGAATAGGAAAAACAAATTTTAATGTTTACTCATTTGCCTGTGACGCGTCGTCTACAGCTACTCTGTGTCCCCCCCCCCCCCCCTTAATGGCTAGCACACATACACCCCACACCACCACACCCCTCTTACTTCCTATACATATCCCCAATGCGCCATCGAGGTTCATTGAATGCAGTTCAACACAAATACAAAAAAATAAAGAAAAAAGTACTCGTTGCAAGCAATATGAAAATCCCCCGAGCCACCCTCGTGGCCCCAAGGGGGAAAGTCAAATGAGGGGAAGACTTTTATTGCAATACCAACTGCGATGCCGGCTACCCCGCTCACTCTCAGTGGATGTGCCTGGGTTCTGGCTCTCGTCTCAATGCCAGACTCGAAATAAAGCCATCAACAATAAAGTGTCGCCAACAATTTAAATGACCTGTTGATGGATTATGAAAAATCCAGCAACGAAAATCATTCAACTCAAAGAAAATATATATATATATATATATATAAATCTATATATATAGTTATGGTTTTTAGTCATCTTGTATATATCTGTTGTGTATATGTTAAATTCAATTAATTGATCATAAAACTAATTTCTGTATTAATTATGATCTGTTTGCAACTGCAACAACATTTTTGTATTGTCATTTGAATTTTGAACACATTTCACATTTTACTTAGCTCGCGGCACGTTTGACCATTATTTCGTTCTATTTCGAGTTTTTATTATGGCAAAAACATCTCCAATTAATCATGTCCCAAATGCACAACACGTTAACAACATTAAACAACTGTCTGCGATACAGATTGAGATGCACAACATATTTGTGTTTGTATCTAAAGCATCCCATTGACGCCCATGCAAATTGTGGAGCTCATCTAATTTTCAAATTATGTCAAATTCCATAAATTCATGGACATTTTCATATTTGACTCTGGACACGTTCGCTTTACTTGTCTGCTTATCAAATGTGGCTCTTCCCGGTGCTCGAATGGGTTCCAAAAACATCAAATCAAATTAGTTTTGGCATCTGATGAAAACATATCTCAAATTATAACAGCGTCTTCAAATCCTATCTATTTATCTATATATATATATATATAAATGTGAACATTTTCTTTTTGTTTATTCCTCCTGATAGTTACAAGAACTTACATACATATTTCGTAATGGTTTGCTTTTTAAGAGGTATTTTATTAAACTACACATTTTTTGTTGTTACGAAACAATTCAATTTTGTATTTCACTTGAATGTGGCAACAATTTGTGCTCTTCCATGGGGGAGTATATATTTTTATGGTGCCCCAAAATGGCTGCATAGTATTTCAATATATAGATGAAGTTATGTTTTATCCAAAATATGCATTTTATTGCAGACATTGTTGAAATTGCTTTTGTTTTTCGTTTTTTTTTTTATTGTTGTAAGAATTGCTTAGCTGATTTGATGAGTGTTTATCGATGGCCACATACACATTTGGAGGGGTGTAGAGATATCTAGGGTCGGGTTAACAAATAGAAGATAGGGGTTAGGGTTTTAGCGGCGTTTGGGGGTTGGTTGGTGTATCTATGAAATCTGTGGCCATTTGGTGATTGTGGTGCATTGACACTCGAGCACCTTTCGATTTTCTCAGGCCTTGTTTACACACACACACACACACAGAGTGGAGTGTTGAGTAAACTGCAGTTGTTGTTCCTGTTGCTGTGGCTGTTATGATTATTGCTGTTGTTGCTGTGTAAACAAGTGACATCTGGGCATTCATCCATTCCACTCGATGCCATCAACAATGCATTCACTTATGATCAGTTGAGCCTCTGTTGTGACAATTGGCGCGGGTGTAACTGTATCTTGTAGCCGTATCTCAATTTTGTATCTTTAACTACTTTGTAGGTGGCCCACTTTGTGGCCCCTTAGCTCTATCTCGCTCCCTCTCGCTCTCTCTCTCTCTCTCTCTGTCTCTCTCTCTCTCTTGGAGGCATTCATTAGACTAACAACAATCTGTGGCAACATTCCGCGCTAGCAGATTAGACAAGCAAATTGCTTGGAAGCCGTTCAACGAATGCGCCGCATCACAAAAATATTTAATTAAATGCTTAATTACGCTCTCGCCATGCCATAAATTCATCAAATGCAACTTAAGCTTAACACACACACACAGATACACACACACACACACACAGATACTCGCACACACACACACAGACGCTCATCACGATGCCAAACGAGGCAATATTGCCGCCAGCCCCTTGTTGCGCCTTGTTTTTGTGTTCGTTCATCAGTCAGCTGCATGCGTTAATGTACAGATGCAGATACAATGATGCAAAGATACAAAGATACAAAGATACAGAGATACGCGGCAATACAGATACAAGTACTTTGTATTCGTCGCAGCTCGTTTTCTCATTTCTCGCTTCTCACTTCTCATTTCTCGTTACTCGATTTCATTTCATTCATTAACAGAGTTCACTTAAAGCTGGGCACCCTCTGGTCGCCCAGGGTTAAACGTTATGTGCCATAACTCTTCCAATGCACCACCAGCAACAACAACAGCAACAACAGCAACAACAGCAACAACATGCATTGAATAGCGGCGGCAATAAGCGTATTTGCAACATAAAACTGAAACCGTTCACAGGAGTCTATATCAGCCTTACAATCGTGATTCGTCAGTCGTGAGTCGTGAGTCGTGCATCGAAAATGAATCCCAGAAATAACTGCAAAAATATTTGTAGACATTCCACTTTGAGTTAACGCTGTAAATTACGCACTCCATCAAATCGCATATGTTGTTTAATATTTTATTTATTTTATATTATATTATTATTATCCTATATCTAAGCTAAGTTTAAGGCTATAGCTGCTGAGACCTATTGATTAATATATTGAGTGTTTTCCTTCACAATTACATATTTGAACTGAGCTTAAGGAGTTGCAAGAGAGTCTCAACTGAAAAATAAAAAAGAATCAGTACTCAAAAATAAAAGTGAGTTTCTAATAAACATTCCGACAGCTAAAACTAAACTTGATCCGCATTTTGATCTTCAAATAACAGACATGATTTCACCCAGTTAATGTCTTATTAACATTTTTCAACTAATTTTGATTAATTGGTAAACGTTTTCTTGGAAATGTTTCTCATGAAAATGCTAAAGCCGCGTTGCAAACCGAACAAATTGTTATTGTTATTGTTATAACTCAATGGAGAATCAGTGGTCAGGTCATTGTGTCTCCATTTCCATGCCCACACACACAGTGTGTGTGTGTGTGTGTGTGAGAGAGAGAGAGAGAGAGAAGTAGATAGATACGCATGCACAGTACACGAAATTGACAAATTGCAGTGAAAATTTAGCTTTTGAAATGAAAACGAAATGCGAGCAATTATTTTTAATTGAAAATGTCAAACATGTTGGCTGCTGAAAAGAGTCGGCCAAGTCGTCAAGCAGCCAGCCAGCCAGCCAGCCAGCCAGCCAGTCAGCCAGCCAGCCAAACTCAAGTCGCGACCAACTGCTGCCCAGCAAAATGTATCTAACAGATACAAATACGCATCGCTGTGCACAGTGCACAGTGCGTTCTGCTTGAGAAATTGAAAAAATAAAATTGTAGCAAACAATAACAACAACAACAACAACAACAACGACAACAACAACAACAAAACAGCAAAGCAAACGTGGAAAACTTATTAGAAGCGCGCTTCTGCTGAGCACTTGAGGGCCATTTGTGCGGCAAACGGGACGCAGTCGGAGTACCTTGAGCGGAAATGCGATAACCCTGAGCGACGGGAAATCGAACGAAAAACATAAAACATAAAATATAAAATAGTGCAGGAGAAGGAGGAGGAGGAGGAGAAGGCAAACATACTTTTAGATTGATTTCGAACATATTCAAAAAAGAAACTCTATTGTAAACTTTCAGCAAAAGCAAAGTTTTCATTTTTGGTGTGTCGAAATATTAGATGTAAAAATTAAATGATACTGAAAATAATTTCAAAAACAACTGGCAGAAAATGTCAAGCGTTTTTGGTTTTCAATTTGCAAACACATTATTTAATTAATTGAAACTGAAATGCTTCGATCAAGTACAAAATTGCGCAAGTTTAATAGTAATAATAACAGCATTGATTTTAGAACTTGAGAACTTGATAGTAAGAAACTTATTTAAAATGTAAAATTAAATCAAGTATGCAAATACTTGATTCTGGGTGTTTCACTTGCATTGAGGAACTTCAAGTAAGAACTATATTTATCTTACGACAACCAATAAAGTTCTTGACTTCGCTCACCTAACTAACTTAATTTTTGTTGTTTTATTTCAAAATACTATGCGCATTGAGTACTGAAAGTAAGAACTATATTTATCTTACTTAAAGTAATCCAGTTATTGATTTCAAAAAAGAATAAACGCGCTTAACTCATCCGAAAATCGTTTTCCGTTAGCGATTTCAAAATAAACTTGTTGAAAATACAAAAAACGAAGCGTTTTCGCCTTTGATTTGGCAATTTTATTAAATCTTACCCGAAAGCATTGGCGCCAGCGCAATATTATTGGACTCCTGTTGCTGTTGTTGCAGCTGCAGTTGCTGTTTGGTTGCAAGCTCCTGTTCCTGTTTGAGAGCACTGGATTTTCCCGGCACACAGCCGCCAATGGGCTTCTTTGATTTCCACAATTTCATTTTGCTTGAATGTCAAGTATTTTGAATGGACTCAGCACACACATTATATATATATGTTTATATATATATATATATATTTATATAGATATGTATATATTTTAGATTGACATTGTTCCCTGGGTTTGTTTGGCTATGCCAATACTAATTTATTTTTATCAACTATATAGAGGCTGTGGTGCACTTGGTGTTTTGGGTTCTGATTTAGATTTCGATTTCGATTTTGATTTTGGTTTCGGTTTGCTGAGTTTTATGCTCAATTTCAAAAGGCGCTGCATAATCAAGAATCCCAAATAAATACTACATATGTAGATGCAGATGTATGTGTAAATGCATTAGTCGGCAGCGCGGTCACACAATAATAAAAAGGAAAAATAAAAGAAAATGTAGAGCACACACACACACACACACTCACACACACACACAGAGACTTGGGGCGCGCGCGAGTATTCAAAAATTCAAATGTGACGCGTCGCGACGAATTTTGTGTTGCTACTGCTGCTGCTGCTGCTGCTGTTGCTACTTTTTGTGGCACGTCCGGCGAATGCGGCGAGAAATTGCACAATGATTCAGAAGTCCGCCAGACGCCACTCGACGAGTCAGCCGGCTGTCCGCGATCTTACAGTTATTTGCCTCGCTTTGCTTTGCGTTGTTTCGCTTCGCTGCTATCTTGCACAGCACAGCAGGCAAACGCTCTCTCTCTCTCATTCTCTCTCACTCTTGCACTCTCGCGCTCACAATTACTCTCATACACACACACACACTAACACACACTAACACATTCTCTCTCTCTCGCTCGCTCGCTCTCTCTTTGCGTGTGCCTCCCTTTCGATTTGTGTGTGCATTTCTCATTTTCCCGGCCATGAATTTTCATTCTATGCACTCCTAGAAACTCTCCCAGTCTCGCTCTCTCCTCTTCGCCTATGCTAGTGCGACTTTTACTCAGCGTCGCACAGAAGCACAATCCAATAAGAATGCTGCAGCTGTCGATTAACGACTGGAACATACCCTGTAATTGGAATTACACATATATTACTAGCCATATCATCGTAAGAATCGTAAGGATTGTTTAGTTGTCGATATACCCTGCTTGTCATGTCACACATATGTGGCATCATCATATGTGTTTTAGGCCCATATGGAATATTTTGTGCTACTGTTGCGCCAGAGGAAGAGGAAGCATTCGTTGTTCCATATCGCATGCGAGTTTCTAATTGGAAAGCACTCAAATCAGTGCCAGCAGACGGCTGATGTGTGATATGCATGACAATCGAGCATCGAGCATCGAGCATCGACCATTAAATGAGCTAACGCATTTGGCCAAATTGTTATAACAGGGCTCAAGGGTTTGGCGCCAAACACCCCAACTCAAGCATACACATAAGTCTCTGCTGCCTGGCTGCCTTTTTATTTGCATACATATATACTTATATATATATATATATATTATTTTTTCTTTTATTTTTTTGTATTCTTGGCTCGAGGCTGCCTGTCTCGATGATTATGCCGCAAATTTTGCTAATTAGTCACGAAAAGTCGCGGCTCGAAAATGGTCAAAATGACCAAAATTGGCCGAATGGCAAATGTGGCAAATGTAGCAAAGTGGCAAAATTCAGCAGCAGCTGCAGCAGCAGCTGCTCTTGGTTTCGATACATTTGATCTATTAGAATAATTTATAAAATATATGAAGGAAAGTGTGCATTGAAAATTAATAATAAAATTGCAACAATAATAACTTTATAGAGTATATATATATTCTTGAGCATAAGAGATAAAGACTTCAAATTTGGATTCATAGCATATATCAAACACAGTTTATTAATATTTGAGTTTATCGATAGCTCCTCCCGTTACACAAATATCGATCAAAATCGAATTATGTACAATTTTTAATGAGACATCAATTTATTTGAACCAAAACTTGAGTTCATATTGAACAACATATATTAGCATATTTACTTTTTTTTACCATTCGACGAATTTGATTGCAATAAATTCAATTCCCAATCGATCTGAAATTTATTAGAAAAGTATATCAAATATTAAGAAAAACACAATTCATTTTGCTCCCAATTTCAATCAATACAGCACAAGAATTTGTTAATTCGATTTTGAATTATGCTTCTGCATATTATAGAACGGATGTCAGTCCATATGGTTGGTATGTCTGCCTTTTAATAGGGCCTGTTCGCGTTTGTAGTCGCTTTAAAATTCATCATTTGGAGTTGGGGTCGAGTAGCACGAATAGATTTTTGTTGGTATTTGTTGGTTGGTATTTTTAATTTTACGTGATTTTAGTTCTTCCTTCCGCTGTGGGGTGTGTCGTCTCTGGCGATGTCTGGCACATTTATGTAGCCGATTTAATGCCTTTAATGACCTCCACTAATGATCGAAGCTGATTGACTCAATACACAACGAAATCGAAGGCATTTACATTTACCAATTTCATTTATTTTTAGGCTCTGCCCGAAGACAACCAGCGAAAAGTGTCTCTCGAATAGTATTCCTGTCCTTGTACCTATATATGATAAGGTGTGTGTGTGTGTGTGTGTGTGGAAGGTTCAAACACTCGATAAGTTCAAATGATAATCGTTTTCCCAGGTCTGATCTTGAAAATAGAATAGAAAAAGTATTTCACATTTCTAACATAAATTGCCATTTTTATATAATTTATATTTGATTTTACAAATCGTGTTCCACTGTGCAACCTTGACAATGCATACGGTAAATCTCATTCTGTCTCTCATTCTCTCTCTCTCTCTCTCTCTCTCTTTTCTTTATGCCTAATCAGTTAACTGTTACTGTGACAAGCTCTGACAAAAAGAAGCACGAGTTCATTTTGAGCAACGCATGCGCAAAATTTTCAAAGTGTTTGCTTTTCTGTGCACGTCGTAGATGATCTGAAGATCTGCATTAATATATGCATTTAGCCCAGTAAATCATAGATGGATTTGGTTGTGTTATTTCTATGTGTATTTGTTAGTTTTATAAAAACAGTAAGTGCAAAACGATACAATTCTATATATTTTGAGTAGAGTCTGTCAAACATATCGCTTCTACTCAGTATAATGGACACGATGCTCTTGCTGCTGATGCTTTTGCTGCTGCTGCTGCTGGTTCGCCTGTGGGCAATCTTCAGGGTGTACAGGCGCGTGGTAGCCCACCAAGATTAATGCCAAGTGTTTGCCGCAAGGATGCGAACGGCAGCAGTTTGAGCGTGGAGATTCGTCTGCCCTTCATGGACATGGAGTTGCGACATGAGCGAACTCTCCACGTGCTGCGCACCGAACATCTGCTGCTGGTGCTGCATGGCCAGGAGCTCTTCCAGCTGCAACTGGGCAGTCGCGACAAGCGACTCGTCCGGCTCGGTGAACTGGCTGGTCGAGTGAGTCAACAGGATGCGACTGTCGCTGCTGTGGTCAATTGGCGACAGTATCTGCTATTGGCTGTGGCCCTGCCACAGTCGCTCGAGTTCTATCAGCTACCACTGCAGACCCTCTTCAATGGCATACAGCTGCACTTTGAGCCCATACAAGAGTTCGCACTGGCTGCAAAGCTGCAGCAGCTGCACCTGCTCAAACCCAATCCCGAACAGGTCCTGCTCTTGCTGGCCAGCAACTTCACCCAAACTCAGACAAAGTGCAGGTGAGCGTAAAAAGTGGCATATTTGAATGTTTGCAATCGTATGTGGCATTCATCTAAAGTCAGCTCCAAGTCCATAAAGTAGATCAACTATTGGTAAACGGATTAATCCAAGTCCTTACAGCCATATTCATCTATTCTTGTGTCTGCTTAATAAAGGAACATTTTCAATATTTGTTTGTTTGTTTGTTTTTTCTTAAGTTTAATATTTTCGAATTTCGCAGGTCTATTTTGCTATGCACATCTAGATTTCTAGATTATTTCTAGGTTTTCTAGATTATTTCACTACTTTTATTAACCAATCCTATAGTTTTTGATATATGCATGAGGATATTAGTTTGGATTTTTATATTCTTATTATTCTTATAGGGTGAACTAGGTGCATTTAGCTAGATATTTGCCTACAATGGAGTTTATCTGTTGCTTACCTTCATTTGTGATGTGTTTCCACAGAACCTTTGAGTGGCTGGAGACTTACTTCAATCCCGTGGAGGATTTCAACTTGCCGGCAATTAAATCCTTTCAGGTGGTGGGTCATCAGCCTCACTATTTAGTCACTGGTCGCTCACTGCGCGGACAAGCCAAAGTAAGCTTCCATCTCTATCTAGTTCATAGGAATTCTTCATTGTTTTTGCCTTGCAGCTGGCGCTCACTGTCCATGAGCTGTTGACGCCCTCTCTCCGGCTGCAGCGCCGTCAGAGTTTAACTGTACAATCCCGGCACTTGCTCGCTGTCCGTTTTCGCAATCGCAACTGGCTTTTTGCCTGTGGCTCCAGCCCCAGTTCCAGCTCTAACTCTAGCTCCAGCTCCAGCTCTAACTCTAGCTCCAGCTCAAACTCCACACCGTGCATCCTGTTTCGCATGGTCGATGGCAAGTTTGTGGTGTACAGAAAGCATGTGCTGAGCCAGCTTCAGTTCAGTCAACTGGCCGCATCCCAGCTGGGACAGCTGCTCGTCGGTGCGCGGTCGAATGGCGAGGTGCTGGTCTTCAATAGCCATCGCTTGGACTGTTACAGTGGCTTCGGCGCCGATCCCCATCCCAGTGGCCTCCACACCCATCTCAATCCCCAGAACGAGAGCTTTATCCTGTTGACGTATCAGCGCAATGCCGACACCACATTGTTACGCATGGTTCAGCTGGCTGGTGTCACATTGCCACCTGCCACCATGGAGCCCTTTAGCGATGGTAAGCCTTAGTCTATCAAGACTAAGTGTATCTTATTAACAGGGTATTCACAGATTTGAGCAGTGTGCAGCAGCATCGTCATGAGTTCGAGGAGTCCATTGGTGAGCTGCGCAGCTTGTTGTTGCGCCGCAAGCAACAGCTGGACGCAGTGCGTCAGTTGACACAATCGCTGCAGCAGCGCCAGAACAGCACCACACTCAATCTGCAGCAGGCACTCCATGTCGCCAGGGGATCACGCATTGAGCAGCTGCATCTGCGGGGACAGCATCTGGCGACACCCACACAACTGCAGCGGCGCATTGAGCAAGTGCGTCAGAAGTATGCAGCCAGTGGACGCTATCCACGCTCCTTTGGTGTGGCCAATGAAGGCCACAGTGCTGCAGCTCTGGACACGCTCAAAGTGCGTCTCTTGCATGTGAACAATCTCATTTATGATGGTGAACTGCTGCCAGGTGAGAAGCGAGAAGAATCGAATACAATTTATATATATGAATAGATATTTGATTCATATATATTTCTCTGACAACAGGCCACTATGTGGACTCGTCGGTGCCACCAATTCTCACCGTCAAGGGTCAACTGCTGACTAAGCAGCTGCACACCCAACAGTTGCTGGCACCACAACGCTACCAGCGGTCCGCAAGTGCCGCAGTGGATGAGCAACAGTTGGTGGTGCGACATCTTCAGGTGGAGCGCATCAATAATGTGTCCTGGTTCGATTTGTATGATTCACTCTTTTTGCACTCACGCGACACTGAGATCGAGGGTCGTCTCGTCATCCAATCTCGCGGTCGAGTGGTGAATCTGCAGTCGCCGCTGCTCAATGGTCTGGTTGTGGAGCAGCTGTTCAATTTGCGGCAGCCGCAGGTGATTGCCTCCAATGTTTACATGTCCGCTTTCTATGTATCAAAATTGGACGCCAATCTCATCAATGGTCTCAACTTTGCCGAGGACATTGTTTTCCGTGATGTCAACAATACCCTAATTAAAAGTAAGTTCAACAATTCAAAATACTTCGATCGTTTCAAATTCTAATTAAGTCCAATGGTCAAATATATAAACAAATTGTAAGATTTTAACTTAATTGTCTTAGCTTTAAACTTTTCTCATCATTTCTTAAGTTTTGATTTAGCAATGTTACATTTCTAAATGAATCAGAGCAGAGTGTGCCGCCTTAGACAGGAAAAGATGGAGAACTTGAGACAGAAACGTGTTTTAAACTCAGAGATCTTAGATCTAGAACCCCTCAACCCAACACAGATTCAGGGTGCTATAGACTCAGAAGGGTCCATCAGTAATATATTAATGAGTAAAGATATTAAATACTTAAGCCACTTTAAGATACTTGCACAAAATACACAGCTGATAAATTTGAATTGCATTTTTGTAGCACCCGTTCGCATCTATCAGATGAGCGTGTCCGGCGATATGCTCGTTGCCAACGACACCAAATGGGCGCGACAAATGGGCGGGGCAGAGATGCCCGCCTTGAATCTACAGCAATATTACACGGGCAGGATTACAGTGAATGGCTCCTTGACCGTTAACAATTTACAGGGGGACACGAAGGCGACGCAGCTGGAGCTCAATGGGCAATCTCTGCATGCACAGGACTTGCACGCCGAATACTTGCTACTCCACAAGCCGCAGGTGAGTCTGGCATAAGCCATATATGAGTGCAGGTCGATCCTCGATCATTAAATTTTGCACTCTCTTGTTAGAACCTAACGTCGCTGATATTTGGGCATGCGAAAGTGTCGACTGTCGCTCTGAGCAGCGACCACATCAATGGTCATCCCATCGCTGAGCATCTGCTCAGTGGTGTTGGCCATAAGGCGGATCCAGCACACAAGCCTCTGCAACTCATATTCATGAATGCCAGCATCGATGGGGATATTAACTGTAGCAATTTGAGCTCCCGTTTGGCTGAACTCTCCAGGGATGCAGTGCGTCAGGGTGAGACGGCAACCATAACGGGACACAAGCATTTCGTTGCACCAGTAAAAGTGGACACCTTGTCCAGTTCCAGTCTTAATGGATTGCCCAGCTCGGAGCTGGTGCTCAAGTCGCAGCTGAGGCACAACTTTACCGACTTCAAGGCGTTCAAACGCCTTGTGGTCAAGGGTCAACTGGAGATTACGGGCAATTTGAATGCACAGCGCCTGAATCGTGTGGACTTAAGAAAGATGTTGCAGCCAGCAATGAGCTTGCAGCGTCTGGAACTGCTGGAGACGCCACACTTGCAGCATCTGGTATTCCAGCGACTCAATGGTCTGGCATTCGATGAGCTCTTTGGCAAGCTGAGTGTGGACAGCAATCAGCAGCTGCTGCTAAACAAACAGCTCATCATCGAGGGCAATGTGCGCTTCGAGGGCGATCTGCAGCTGCAATCCCTAAACGATATCGACTGGGAGCCGTACCTGAGTCGACTAGTTAATGCAAATGAAAACACTTTGCTTGCGGGCAGCAAGAGCTTTCTGCAGCCAGTTCTCATCACAGATGCCCTGCAATCGCCCACAATTAACCAACTCGATCTGAGTTCGCTCTTGGAGAATACATTGTTGCGCACAACGCCTCAATCGATAAGTGGCGACTACACATTCCGGCGCATGACGGCCACAAATGTGGATGTGCCCCTGGTGAATGGGGTGCCAGCTGATCAATTCCTGGATACACGTCAAAAATCTGTGCAGCTGCAGGGGGATCTTTATCTGGATGAGCTCACAATTAATGGCAGTTTGAGTTGTCGTCTGGCCAATAATCCACTGCCTCAGCTGACTGTACAGTTGGCAGCGCTGCAGCAGCGCAGCTGGCGTCAGCTGATTGTGCTCGAAGATGCCCTGTGGCCAGAGGAGGCCACTGCTCCCAATTGTTATCAGCAGCTCGACTACCTGCGGCAACATGCCGTACGTCGTTGGGGCGCCACACAAACCATCTCGGGACATGTGATACTGGAGCAACCGCGGCTAGGCAAGGTTCAAGCACCGCAAAACTTTCCCGGCAACCTCAACATAAGTCACGTGGCGCAGGATGCGCTGTTGCGTCACGGGACAGCCACACAAATCGTACGATCCCCTCAAGCAATGCGGCAAGCGGTATATGCGCGTTCCATCAACCTGCACAGGGATGCACAATTTGGTTTGCTCAATGACATCGATGTGAATCGCTTGAATGCCTCGCTCTATCGTCGCTCCAGCGGCCTGCCCATCGAGGCTCGACTCCAGTTTGCGACACCACCCAGACTGGATCAGCTGCAGCTTGAGGGACAATTGAATGGCATCGCAGTGGGCAACATTTTTGAGCAATCGCCGAATGCGGTTTACCCAGCTGTGGTGTTAAGGCGACTGCTGCTGGAGCATGAACTCCAGCTGGATGAGATCAATGGCATGAATCTGGAGTATCTGTTGCAGCAACGTGTGCCGCTGCGTGGCGCCGCCTTGGAACTATTTGGTACACTGCGCTTTGAGCAACTGCACCTGGGTAAGGATGCACTCTTGCGCAGCATTAACGGTATTCCCCTGCAGAATGTCGTCTACAAAAATGCGAAACGTGCCCAGGCCATCAGCGGTGTGAAGACCTTCGAGGCTGGCCTCGAATTCAAGGGACCTGCCCATGTGATGCGCCTGAATGGCAAGGAACTAAGCGAAAGCTATCAGCGCACCATATTCACCGATCGCGACTATAACATCGATAGTCTGTTCCTCGATGGAGCCATCTTCCAGGGTGGTCTCTTCAACGATTTCGCAATGGGTGAAGCTCGGCAAGCGGCCCAGTTGCCAACGTCTGACACGAGTAAGGAGAGAAAATTGCACAAGTTGATGGAGCAATTGCAGCAACAGCTGGCCACAAATCGCACACATCGTTTACTCTACCTGGACTACGAGCCTGATTTGGAGGCCAGCTGGAGTGAGCCGCCAGCAAATGCAACATTTGAAATGGTAGCCAATTACAGCGCACGATCCACCAACGTTTGTCAGCCGCTGCAGCAGCAGCTGCGTGCCCAACTCCAACGGCAGCCGGCACGCGTCCATCTCAGCTGGGTTGAGTTGCCCAATCGTCTGCGGCGCCTCAATGCAACTCGGCTAGCGTTGCGCATCAGGGCACAAAATTACTGCAACAAACAGCCGTTGCAGTTGCACAATCGCATTCGCAGTCGGATACAAATCAATTGTCGGGAAGAGACGCACACCTTGGGACTGCCCCATCATGTGGAGTCACTGGAGCTGCTCGAGCAGCAGGATTACAGTCTGCTATTGATTGACACGCTGGAGGAGTTGCGTGTTTTACGCATTAATCACACGAATTGCAGTCTCAGCGATTGGCAATCACTGCCCTCCACCGGTGCCCTGATGCAGCTGCTCCACCTGGAGCGGAATGGCACAACACTGCTGCTAAACAGTGCCCGCCATCAGCACTTGCCCATTGTGGCTGTGCAACGATTGGATGCGCACAGCCAACGCTTTGTGCGGCTCCAGCAGATCGATGGTGACTACGATATGGCCGTATTCCATCAGCAGCAGCAGCAGCAACAGCAAGAGCAACAGCTGCTGCTCAGCTGCCACAATTGTCGCCACATTGCCATACATTTGTTTGATGCGCAGAGTCAGCATTTTGTGGCATTGCAACAGCTTCGCCTGGAAGCACGCATCCAACAGCTGTTGCCATTTGTTGTCGCCCAGGAGCGACATTTACTGGTGCTCACCGTGGCCGGCTCCAAGCATTTCTACCTGTTCAGCTATGCCCACATCGAGGGCTGGCAACAGCGCACCTATGGCCACATGGCTGAGTTCCAGTATTCCTGGCCACTCATCCGATCCGGTCAAGAGTTGACGGCATCGATGCCAGTGCTATTGCTATGCGGACAGCGCTTGTGCAGCCTGATCAGAGCACTGCTCGATTAGAAACCCCACTCCTCACTCCTCTCCCACTATCACTGTGTATTTAGGGTACTCCCACAATGAATCAAACTGTATCATCATATTACCCGAATAATCCATTTACTTACTATATATAAACTTTTTCGAATATTCAGATAATCAGCATTATATATGAATTGCCAAACAATTTTTTGTCTAATAAATTGCTTTATGAAGAAAGGTAAACATAAATTGTGGCATACTTTTAGGGGTGTTTAAGTCTAGACAACTAGTTCTAAATAGGTTCAATTCGTTCGAAGTGCGTTAGTAGCACAAATAGATTATCTACGGATTATCTATCTTTATATTCGAGGATTATGGGGTCGTCTAGGAAACCAAACGATGAACGGAAATTAATGAAAAATTTCTTCAGAAACTATAGGTATGATTCCGATGTCCTCTGCTTGATCGCGCTGGACAAAACAAAATGTTTGACACAGGACTCGTCAGGATCTGTAAGGTTTTGCCCAAGTAATGAGAATATTTGTTGTTTTTTCGAATCCTAGAAATCCTTGTATAGAAATTGTTAGCTGTTAGCTATTGTTTCTAAGATCTCAAAAATGAAAGTCAGATTTTCGAAGGACACAGGGCATCAGTTAGTAATACATTCATAATATATTAACAATTATATTTATATATAATCAGCCACATATTTATTATTCATATTCACATATATTTTCTTGATTATAATCAATTTATTATTATTATTATTCATCTTGTAAATTAAATACAAAATGCATAATTTTAGTCTGTTCAATTATACTTCAATTATATTAATGATGCACATTTTTGGGGATGATGATGGTGATGAGCTATGAAATATGACTTTCAACTTTTGCGTACAGATTGTCCAAATCCTTGAACACTTTAAATAGTGTCCCGTTCTCCTATATTTTACAGCTTAAAATACATTTTTGCTTTCAGTACGTATAATCAGTCGCCTTTGGCAACCTATTCTAAAAATAATAATTGTCAATTTGTATGTGCTTTAACAAGTTATATAATATTTATATTTGTTATTCTATTTGCATATTCTAATGAAAAAAAAGTAAAAAAAAAAAAACACATATCTTTATGAGGGGTAGTCTCTGAAGTGTAAAATAGAAACAGATACAATTACTTAGAACAGACATCAGATGGATTCAATTATTAACTAGAAAAGTTTGTCATTTCTGGCATACCCCTAATAGAGATTATCACATTTGAACTTAAAATAAAATAAATGTCTAATCAAAGCTATTAAACCAATGCTCCTCATCATCAATGCTCTTCACTGTCGTCCAGCTCAGGAGATGAAGCTCTTGCGACTACAACTGAGCACATAGATTGTAAAGACAATTAAGCCCAGAATGCCATAAATGGAGCTGTTCTGATTGCAACCATTGCCAGTCTGGGCCTGGATCCACTCCACGTGACTGGCGACATCGACAAAAGCGGTCGACTCACTGCGCAGGCCAAGCAGTTGATTCGATTTGGTTAGCGGAGCACCTGCATCCAGTTCATATGCGGCCAGCATTGCCTGGTTATCGTAGAGGACGCACAGCTGTTGCGGCTGCTGGCAGGACGACTCCTTTACACGCAACGTGAGCATCTCGTGCAGCTCGTGTCCATCCTCGCCAGCCTGTCCCCAGCTGCTGATGTGCAACGGCGCCGCATCCCCATCCAAGACCTGCGCATCCACAGGCAGTGCAATCGGCTGAATGGCTGCTTGATGAGCGGGCACATCCTGATCCAGCATCAGTATCGCAATCGACAGCTGCTTGGGCGGCAGATAAACGTGTGTCACTCCATAGACCTGAGCATGAGTTGTCGGCGCAAAACGCTGCCTGCTGCCCAGCACAACACGCAGCTCCGCCGGATGATAAGAGCTATCACTATCCGACCTAGAAAACAAATCAAATTACATATAGTATTTAGTAGTCCAGCTTGGGCATGGGCAAAATTTCTAGCTTACTTGTGCAGACACTGGGCGACGGTGAGCACAACAGATGGACCCACCAACGCTCCGGAACAGATATGTCCCTTGCCAAAGTAATCCATCTCCTGCTCCAGCAGCCGTATGGAGGCCTGATAAGGTGCTCTGCTGTGCTGCTTGCCACCAGTTGTTGGGTTAGATGTGCCAATGCTGTGTTGTTTAGTCAGTTCGCGATGAGTAAAGGCTGCGGGCAGCGGGATAGAGAAGAGCACAAAAATTGTATTCATCGACTAGCACGTATACCAGTAAAATATAATAAAGAACAAAACATTTTAAATATTGACTCACTACTACATGTGCTACTGCACATTTTAATCGCTTTTCTATTTTTTTGATTTGATTCCAAATTTGTGAGAGGTTATTAAAGATAGCCAGCCTTGAAAGCAGTTTGTTGCCAGCTGTTTTAGCTTGGACGTCAGTTGGCAATTACTGGGACGGTCACCAAGCCAACACAAGCACAGTTTAATTTATTGGTATTTAAGATTATCAACGGTAGCAAATTCCATACCCATTCCCATTCCAATTCCCAGACGGGTAGTTGGCCTTGGCAACAAGAGGCGAAATGCATTTTATATGGTCTGATGCCGTCTTGTTATCATTATCAACGTTAAGCCAACAAACGAACGCATTACGCGATCACCTGATATTCTCCATCTATTTGTGGCTATTTTTTTTAATATTTTTTTTTTGTTTTTCTTCTAGTTTGTGCTATGGTCTATTAGTATTATCGTAATTGCGATATGGTTCAGTCTCAAGAGCCCGTCGGGCATTTATTAAGGCTTTATTAATATGAATCGCAAATCAATAATAGTTGGCCAGATTCACGTTTTGCATTTACTATTTGGTTTTGTTGGGGGCTGTTCTGCCCTTGAATTTTCTAATCTGTGACTACAGTAGATACAGTTGAACATGTCCATAGGGATAATGCAATTGCGGTTTGACCTTAAAGCGAACACTAAATATTTCTTTGGATCTTGAATATGGAAACTTCAATTAATTGACCACGTTTTCGGTTTAATAAAAAAAATTAAAATTAAAATTTATAAGAGTTCTTATCATAGATTCCTGAGAGAGTCAGTATCGTTTTAATATTAATGGAAAATTGGATAAAACACTTATCACTAAAGTAGCTGGTCGATAACAATGGAGAAGGAATGTTCATAGATAGCCATTCAATTTTGTTTTTTAGGAAAACAATTACAGAACATATTTAGTTTTAACTGGCTTTAGTGAAATGCGAAAATGTTGAACATGACTTTACGTATATTTCAATAAAGATTTGTAGTTAAGACCAAGTTTCAAGAACTGTTATTAATCGAATATTTATCGCAAAAAAAGCAGGTGGGTAACACTGGAGAATAAATATCTAAATATAGCATATATAAAATATAAATATATTTTTGCAATATAATATATATATATATATATATATATATATATATATATATATATATCGATCTAGCCTTAATGACCTTACAGAAAATTTTGAATTTCTTCTGGGTCCAAAGAGCGTTAACTTTTAACTTATCTAAGACTCGTGCTATTTATGAGCTTTCACCTTGATTAAAGTGTTAGTAATACGAACCCCAAATCAATAATAGTTGGCCAGACTCACGCCGGATGTTTTGAATTTACTATTTGGGTTTTTGGGGCAATTCCAGCCTTGACTTTTCTAATCTGTCATAATCGCTGAACAGTTAATACAGTTGAAAGTGTCTATAGATATAAGGCAATTCAGATTAATCCTGTACATATTTCTATAACATTTCAAAAGGACAGTTTCACACATTTGAAAATGTTTTGCGATTTAATGAGACATCAAAACTCATAAGCACAGATTCTGGTAAAGTCAAAACTATCTAAATATATTCCATTTATAAAAAAAAAAAAAGTATAAGCAAATATAAAACATTTTTGCTCCAAGAACTTTATTGCAATTAGCAAATTTCTTACGAGCCAGAGAGAGTAATTTTTTAAACATATAACTTATATATATTATCAAATTGAGTCTTAAAAAGCACAATTTTATATTCCAATTTCAAATTGAAATATATTTGAATTTTAGTTTCAACTTACTTGTCTGCATTTCGGTGCAGAGGAAGGCAAATATCAGTATTTTCATCACTTTCTTCAGGTGCTCGTTGAGTTGCATTGTTGGGCACTTGGGATTAGTTTGGATCCTCTGGCACTTATTAAAAACCTGGTAAAGGCGTCAATATACTTGGAGCTCCAAACGCTGAATGAATTAATTCGTTTCTAAAAAGTACGAAAGCAAAATCGCAAAACGCTTTTCACCCAGATAATTCAGGTTTGTTTTGATTTCTGGCAATGTTTATGCTTTTGTTCATATTGCTTTTTTTTTGTTTTTTCTTGCTTATATGTATTGATAAAGCTACAACATTCGAGCACACACACACACAGACAAACACAGGAATCTTAATCGCGAATTGATAAGAACTCTATTTTATTTTCTTCGTTTTTATTGCTGTTTTTTCATTTTCTTTGTACACTTTGTTTATTTTTATATTTAAATTGCGATCAGTGCAGTTACCCAGTTGACAACACAGCTTGTGGCATACTCTTTTTATTTTTACTTTTTTTAAATAAACAGCACACACAGTTTGAGTCTCAAATATCTAAACATCCCAAACAATATACAACATTTCAGTTGGTCGGCAAAAATTGCATTTGTTTGTAGTATGCAGAGTGTGTAGAGTATTTAGTGTATGTATAGTTTTTTATTTTATTTTTCATTTTCATTTCAATTTTATCAGTATGTTTACCTACTAATTTTAGAAGCCTGCATAAATTTATGTCACTAATACGAATCATACGAGCCTATAATTAGTCGAAGGTTGCCCGCCACAGAATAACAACATATCAAACGAAAATTAGTTATAGCTTCCATATTAATCAAGGAATCATTGACATTATATTATTATATGTACATGATGATTCTGGGTCAGCTTTTATTGTATAAAACATACTTATTATAATAGGGTATACAGCTTTAAGAATGTCATAAGCTCAATTTCACTAGAGACTTTAAAGTCTGCCGCTTTGAATATTTATAGAAAGTTTTTTTTTTTTTGAGACTAAGAAGACAAAATATATTTAGAACAGCTCTAACATCGAGCTCTAATCTCAGGATTAAATATTTGGAAACTATTTGTGGCTATTTGTATCATTATCATGCAATAATCACGTGCAACGTGCGCGTTGCACAATCCAATCATGTGCATAACTGACAGTGATTGCTGTGCTAAACTGCATTAGTCAGCGATTCCTGGGTGCAGGTTATAGATAAGGATTGGGGAGTGTCCAGCATATGCCATTGCAGTCAACAGCACTTACTGACATCGAATGGAAATACCCAGTAGCCAAATCTTGAGGGGCATATTGACTGCACTTATTGCACAACAAAAAGATCAAGGCTGTCGCTAATCTATATCTATGCGCATCATCATTTTAGTATCAGGGTATCAGAAGTCTGAAAATCCCATTTCTAATTTCCGTTAAGTTATCTTTGAGGGGTTTGCAACACGCGCCAATTTATATATATATATATAGTTGGCCATAAGTAATAACAAGAAATTGTGACCAAAATAAATGACTTTGGTCAGCAGTAATTGCGTGTTAAACTATTTGTGTTTTTTTTTCGGTTTTTACCACAATGATTAGAACTTCATTGATTTTACGTTGGATTATAGTTTCATTGAGCTTTCCGTTCTGGCTTATCAGCGACCTCAAATCGAATCCAACAGCAGCCTAAAATTATGCTATAATCCTATTTTTCGATTTGCAATTAAAAATTCCATACAATTAGGATGGCAAGAAGTCGTAGGTCCCCATAGTGTTCAACGCTACGGGAAATGGAATCCCACGATGATTTGGCAAGTTCATCAGCAAAGCATTATCCTCAATCCATTTTCGATAATACCACACATCGGTGTGAATACCCGGCACGGGAGGCATGCCCCAAGAGCCAATGCCAGTCAAAGGTCCACCCGAGTCGGCGGTGCAGGCACCCGATTCCAAATCATTCACACAGCGAGCACAGATCATACCGGGAATTAGATGCTGGCTGAGCTTGCCATCGACACGCCTACACGCCCCAGATCGATGAGCATTACTTTATAGTTGAGTAGTTCATTCCTGTTGTCCTTCTCGTTCTCGTTCCTTATTCGACTCTGCTCGCAATAGATCAGGATACTCAGCTTGAATCAGCCTTGTGGGCTGCATAAATTCAGGCATCGACAAAAATAGCTCAACTCTACACAACTGACAACGTGTGCCACAAGCAGCAGAAACCACAAACCCTTCTAATTAATGTTTTACATAGTTAGTATTCATAAATAATGGTCTCTTGTTTATTATCATTCATTTGTTATAGTTGTCCAAAACTCAATCTCGATTCGAGTGAGCAATTTAAATTATTTCTAATATACTTATGGTCAACAAAATACGACTTGCTTTTTATTTTATTTATTTTAGATTAGTATTACTTCATTGACTTAACAATCTAGGCTTACGTCCACAAAGTGGCTTAGACCGAGTAGAACAGGAACCGCAACACTCATAGCGTATGTAAATGTCAGCTTGGCGACACCATCACCACTACCCTCGCCACTACCCTCACCACTACCCTCGCCACTACCCTCGCCACTACCCTCACCACTGCCCTCACCACTGCCCTCACCACTACCCTCACCACTGCCCTCGCCAGTATGCTCCGAGATCTGCTCAATTATCCAGTCATAATAGTAGGAGACCTCGGTATAAACACCTGGTCGATCGGGCTCAGCACAGCCAAGACCCCAGGACACAATGCCTGCCAGTTGGCTTTGGCAGACGAGCGGTCCACCGGAGTCGCCCGAGCAGGCATCCCGCTCACCCTCCATATACCCAGCACAGATCATGCCGGACAATATGAGCTGGCCAAGGTCGGTGTCTTCGATGCACTGTCTCTCATCGATAATGGGCACATCGACAGACATCAGCAGATCGGAGTTATAACCCATCTCAGTATATCCCCAGCCAGTTACCTGGCAAACGATATCCGCTGGCACTGCCAAAGCAGTTAGTGCAATGGGCCGAATGGTTGGATGATTGGCGGGCACTGAATCATTGAGTATCAGCAGAGCAATATCCTTGTCATAAGTCTTCAGATTAAAGATTTCCAGCTGCAGGATCAGCGACTCAATGTCAAAAGTCAACGTATTCGTCTGGTTAAAGCGATCCAGATTGCCCATGACCACAATTATTGTCTCCTTGGGAACGAAGGTACCATCGTAAATAATCTGGCTAAAGAATCATGAGTAATCAGTGAGAATATATTTAAGAATAGTTATTAGTCATTTGCATTGCAAAATATATATAAGGATACATCTTAACTTCAGCCTTGGATCAGTCATGCGTTATTATTAATATGAATTAGATATGAGGATCAGATTTGAAGAACAGCTTTGAGTTACAAATATGAGATCAGGTTCGAAGATCAGCTTTAGTATCAGATATATGTATGTATGTATTTATAGTTGTAATGGGATCAGCTAATACAATCAGTATTTCTGACTGATTATCAGGAATTATAACGAACAGGATCAGTTATGAGCCGGGTGTCAATCGAAACGAATTTGGGTTCCATTTCTGATAGAGAAAAAAAAACCCTCAAATATATACACATAGTCTGATACCGATTCCAAATTTCAATCGTTAAGGATTCGGTTCCATCTCCGAATCCAATACCAATTTGATCAGTGATGAAAATCTGCTTCGAAGATCAGCTTATGTCTATCAGCTATACAAATTAGTTAGGAGCCGAGATCAGTTGCAAGTGAATGGGTTATGAGAAACAGTTATGATCACTAATCACTCATCAATTTTAAATATTGAGACTTACTCCACAAAGCAATGCGCTGCGGATAGAACGACATTTGGCGTGATCAATGAACCACCGCAAATGTGACCGGTTCCAAAGAAGTAGCCATCGTTGAGACGACGCCGCAAGCTGATCTGATGCCTTGTTGCCTCCATTGTGGCCTCTGTGCCATTTATAATGCGTCCCGGATCTTCATTGAATCTCGGACGTATCTTCTGTGTGTTCAACCGCTCACCGTTGCTCGCTGACAGATGGAGGCTGAGCAGCACAACGAAGATCATTATTTTGGGAGCCATGGGGAGTGTTCGTATTTACGGCACGAGCTAACAACGTCAACTAATTTGGTGTGGGCAGTGAGGGCCCGCATTCGCTTGGCTAATGCTTTATAATCGATATCGAAACAGTTACATCTGCCAATACACGCCCGGCATAATCTAATCAGCTCCCACCTGCCCAACCAACCCACTTTCAAATTAGTTGTTTTTGGTCGATTCTCAATTCGATAAGAGTACCTGTTTGGCTAAACGATATGTTCGTGTTCGTGGCTCTCTTTTGCCAAAGTATCTCAAGTGTGCGACAAATCTGAGACACACCGACAAACAGAGACGATGTAATCGATGGGTTTGCCACAATAATTGTAGATTTATAGCACCATGTCTTGTCTTTTGCTCATCGATAAGAATTACGGCTCATCGTATTGGAAATAAACCAAAACTATAAATGTAATCAAGAGTAAGAGATACACTTTAATTGCATTAATTTACTGATGAATCATTGGATACTTACAGATGAATGATCAATTATTTCAAGAACAATTTACTTAATACAAATGTATATGTTAATTATTAAGAAATTTGCGTTTTGTTATCATTTATTTAAATTGAGAAACTATTGTATTGTTTCATAGATTTCATGATTAACACAAATTGGCCATAAACTGAATTCAGATGGTGGACAAATTATAATATATCCAGGCAAACGCCACTATATCGATCTAATGAAGATGCAAAAAAAAAAAAAACAAATTCTCGAAATTCCTTTAAATGTAATTTCGCGACTCCACTCGGCGCAGTCGTTGCACCTTGATTTTAGTTGTAAATAAAATTCTAATCAAAAAAACATATATATAAATATTTATATATACATAATTAGAATATATATATATATATATATATAACAAAGAATTCAATTTTCCACTTAGTAGCTGTTTCTTATTGATTAGATAAAATGATTTTTTTCATTGATCAGAATTGCGACTGAGACAACACTTGAGTTCCACATTCTGACATGGTTCACAAATTGTTACACAATTTTCGGAAGCGTTTTGCCATTGTTTAGTTAAAAAAATGCTAATAAATAAAAAATATATGTATATAGCAAAGTAAAGAATAAAATTTCCCATTTAGTAGGTGGGTTTTTTTTATTGATTAGATAGAATGACATTTTTATTGACCAATCACGGGACTGAGACTACACTTGAGGGCCACGTTCTGACAAGACTCTACTATTTACCCCACAAGATACAATCAAAATACTTTTAGCCAAGAGCGTTCGCATTCGAAGGCTGGCAATTGTAAACAAGGAATGCACTTTGCATGAGTCTTAATTTAGTAGCTGGCTAATATAAATACAGCGAGAATTGTTGGCCAAACCGTTAACTGTAGCGATCCGTTTTTATAAATCGAATAATCGAAGGAGTTATTGATACGATATATCCAGTTGGTGTACTTTATGACATTCGTGTAGACGCCCGGGTAGTCCTTCTCTGCGCACTTTCCGCCGTAGGAGACGATGCCCACCAACGTGTTGTGGCACTGCAGCGGACCGCCGGAGTCGCCCTGACAGGAGTCGGTGCCCCCGTGCATATACCCTGCACATATCTGTGTAACGGGTATATTGCCGTAGCTTCTGATGCACTCCGCACGGCTGATTATCGGTATCTCTGCCGCCTGCAGGCTATTGCTTCTGCTACCACCCTAAAAGAATAATATGTAAGAATTCTAGGAAATGTTGTGTGTTATATACGATCAATCGATCTTGATGAAATTTCGGAGATTTCACTGCTACCCAGTGAATATAATAAATCGAATTCAAACCAAATATAGCCTTAATAATAGTAAAAACTTTCCTTTAAAGCTGAAGGAAACAGATACTCGATTTGCACTTCGAGGTTATATATAGTAAGTAGTATGAATGATAGATTAGATTAGAATAGATCTGCCAGCAGCAGTATTAATATTTTAAGCCTCTTCAGCTTCAGACTGGCAGACAATCGAACGAATTGCACAATACCAATATACTCTTCTTCTATCTTTTGTACAACAAGTGCGAAGAATTTAAAACTCAATTCAAAATTTGACTTACAGTTTCTTGGGAACCCCAGCCGGAGACAACACATTTGGTACCCACTGAATATTGTCTTGTGCTAAGCGGCAGAGCGGTTACCTCCGAGTTCCATGGTATGTAACCGTTTATAAAAAACAATGTTATATCGTTAATGTATGTTTCGTGGTCATAGCTGGGATGATTAACCACCATCTGCACATTATATTGGAGCGTTGTAGTATCTTTTTTGCTGAGGAACGTGCTGCCCATGATCAGTACATATTCACGAGCCCTTCGAAATCCTTTTTTCTTTGGTCTGCAAGATGTTGAAATAATTACTAATTTATTACAATTACTTTTTCTACTGTTTTTCTCCTTTTCCAGATGATGATCAATAATATAATATACCCCATTTAGTGGGGTTAAAAATGGGTTACACACTTTATAAGGGAATTAGAATACCCTGCTTTGTACAGCTCCTCTGGATGTGGACGGATACTACTCACGCGAAGGTACAGTGGGCCGCTGACACGATCAAGCGCTGGGTGATGACAACTCCGCCGCAGATGTGACCACTGCCATATTTTCCATTTTCGCGTTGAACCAGACGCACAGATACCTGATATGGTGCTTCCATTATGTCGATATCCTCACCACCAACAATCTTGGTATTAAAACCCTTTCCAGCAGCAGTGGAATTGTCTTAAAGAAATATAGGGATTTAATTAATGTCTTTATGAATAGACTTATGTTCAAACTGAAAGCTATTATAAGTCCCTAACAGTATTCCTATATCATATGTGAGTATGGCGAACCTCCATTTCCGGCTAAAATCAAGAGAAATAGCGTCGATGCCGCCAAGATGAATATCATAGAGACTTTGATCTACAATTTTAAACTACAATGAAATTAAATAAAAATGTAACTTTAATCAAACAAAATTAAATTGAATTTTTGAATGTAAATCCATTGCTATTTGGCAGGCAGACCAGACTTTGAAACGACAACAAGGACTTAAAGGAGATACATCAGTAAAGGTCCACATTTATCAAATATTCTTAAGCTAGTTGCTCATGATCTATGTTTATATATGGGCTAGAATATTAGAATATTCAACCTAGCAAGAGGACGGATACTACTCAGACATATTTCCTCGTTTGCCGTCTAAGCTGATAAGGTGTTTCCTTTATAAAGGTATCCGCACTGCTTTCATCACCTAAATCAGGAAGAAAATATATGCATTTAAGATCTAAATGAATTTACTTCTTAACTTTTCTACTTCTGTGCACAGAACAGAACAGAAATCTACAAGAATGTGTTATCTATTATACATATGTATGTATGTCCATGACGTTCTAGGTATCTGCGTCATAGTATTGCTCTATCAGATGTGATTATGTTATCTCCACAGTTCGTAGTAATGTAATGCATTTCAATAAGCTTGAAATCTTATCGGATTTCTAGCAATCTCGTTCGAAATCAATGAAGGTAAAATTGTAATTATAAAATTTCATCACTCAAGACACTCACAATAAAGTAATTAATTGATATATAAATACATACATATAATAGTTCTACTGTCCCCAAATCGAATAAATCTGTTCGTCTAAAAATTTGAAACTGCAATGAAATTAAATTAAAATTCAACTTTAATCAAAGAAAATAAAATTGAATGTTTTAATAACAAGCATATACATCAGTAAGGGTCCACCTTTATAAAATATTCGTAAGCTAGTTGCTCATGATATAAATCAATATATAAATATATATACAATTACATAAAAATACCATGTTCGGTATTCGTTATATCGTACTTAAATTAATTTGTGCACATCTAAGTCAGCCAATTTATGACTAACTAAATGACATATTAACTGGAAAGATGTTGGTTATGGTATAGAAAGAGATAGAGCAGCAATCAACCATTTTGCTGGCTTTGTCGTACTTAAGTTCTTTTTATCATTTTCCTTTTATAAACTATGTGATTATAGAATCAATGCTGGGTTGCAGCTCTCTCTCTCTCTCTCTCTCCCGCTGTCTCTATCTCTCTCTCTCTTTCTCAGTTCCCAATGATGTTGTTTATGTTAAACTATCCTCCAAATCATCATCCTCATCACATTCAGTTTTGATGTCAGGTTTAATTTCGGCTAAACTAGCCTCCAGATCATCCTCTTGACTCTCAGTATTCTTATATTGCAACTGTGGCACACGACGACGCTGTAGCACCTTGCGTTCCACATGCTGTATGCCCGTTTCCATTGCTTTTCGTTTTCTAGAAAAATGAAATAAATAAGTATCTTTTTATTTTATTTTACATACTTAGCAAACCTATTGCGAGGACTCATTGTTTTGGACGCATCTTTGACTGCTGTGTCGCATGGAATTGTGGTAGCCACATCAGCGGTCTTGGTCTTATCCACTGGTGATTCGCATTTGATAGTCGCCCCTGTTGTTGACGCCATCGAATCATCGAGAACATGCTGCATGTCCTCGTATTTGGCCACATTCGACAGCAGCCTATCGTGTTCCACACGAAATGCATCCGCATCGAAGCGCTCTGTGGCTACAGTGGCTACAAGAAGATGAATATGCGAATATCACGAATTGCTGCTACTACTACTACTATATACATAATGTGGTTAAATATATAAATATAATATATGATTGGGATACACAGCAATTACTGCATAGTTTACACAAGCCGACTTACTTCTTAGCAGCCGAGAGCCTTCAATGCGATACTGTTGGAGTTCCTTATCCTTAAGCTTAATTATATTTAGCAAATATTGCAGATTTGTATTAAGATTATAGCCTTCATTGAGCGTTACTTTTAATGCGTTACGAAAAAACTGCAAAAAAGATACAGATATAGATTAGATATGTATATAGCTTGTGGCATGTCTACTGAATGAGGAGTTACTATTGCACTGTCCATGGCTGCTAGATGCCACTCCCACTTGAGAGGTGCCGCTGCGCCCTCAACGCGATATTTTAAGCTAAGTACAGCGTCATTCTCAGCCGCATCCGGACCGGTTAACATTTTGGCTTCCACTGGATTGCAGCCGCTGAGAGCCGCATTCAGCGCAGCAATGGGAAAATGAATGCGTTTGTTCAATTCCTGTTGAAATTAATGAATTCTTTTAATCGTTGGCACAGAGCAACAACAAATGGCAACAGTTGGCAAAATGGTTTACCCGAATGCGCTGCAATATTTGTGGCTCTGTCAAATTCTCACTGTAGCTCATCATATTAACTTCATCACGGCAATTGAATTCCATGTCGCTCGATTCGATAATATTTGTGTAGCTTATTAATTGCAAATCATTTATTTTGATTGACTTCAGAGACATTTTGATGTTGACAAAACAGAATCACAACACAAACACAGCTGTTAGCTGAACCAGACACGCAATTTTCCAGCAATCGCCGATGACATCATACTTATCGATAGCTTGGGCGCTAAATTCAAATACAAATAAATAATGTCAAACAAGAGTTTTGCATTTTCAATGTGCCTTTGCTTTAATCATATATCGTTAATAAGTAATACTTTTCATTTTTGTTTTCTGCATTTTTTGTTTGTTTTCCGTTATTTTTAATATTATTAAAAAATTGTCTGTGTACTCTTTTCTTCTTTTGTTTTGCTTCACCTGCTTTTTTTTCTTTTACTTTCGAATAACTAGTTTAATTTGTGTTTAAATTTTACTACAGACAGAAAATAACTACATACTTCATTCACATTGAATGCTAGATAATACCACACTAATACAATTTATATGTTCATATTTCTTTATGTATACATATATAATTAACTAATTCGCATATTTATATTTATATATAGTAAAACAGTTTCAGTTATAACACGAATATAATGAAAAAGAAATTTTGTTTTTTATTATTTTATTTTTTTTTTCGTTTTTTGTTTTTTTTGTTTGCTTAGAAACGGTTTTAGATTACGGATCGTAAATCATCTTAAACGAGCCTCGGGCTTAAATTAACTGTCTTTTCTGCAAGTGCCATAAATATATATATATATATATATGTGTGTATATATATATATATATATATATATATATATAGATGTATGTATAGGCTATTCTATAAAATTCTGCTGTAACTTAAGCTTAGATTTAACGCCTAGATCAATCTGTGACGACGTTTGAGATTTTGCAACTTTTTCGTTGGTTTTCATATCTGCGGACGTGTCCAGAGCTCGCTTAGGTCCTTCTGTCGCAGCTTACCCAATTCTGCAAAAAATTGACACACAATTAATCATGCATATGCCACGAGGAGTGATCAATGACTTCAACTTACCCAGCTGTGCCGGCAACACGCTGCTACTGCGGAAACTCAGATCGAAGCGCGGCTGCACCGCCAACTGACTGGCTGCGGAGGAGGCGGAAACGGCGACGGAATTGCGAAATGTGGTGCCGCTATAAAAAATTAATAAGTACAAATAAATATTAATACACATAAAATTAAGAAAACTTTCATTTTTCTATGAACTTTGTCACAACATCGTCTGGAATTATGAACTAGAAGAGCAGTCATGCATGGTGCTAGCCACCAGGTTATTGCCTTCACACCAATTTTACTGTGCACGTTTAAGCCCAATGGAGCGCTTACCTATATGGATGCTTGAGGCAACCATAGACCTCGCGATAGCGACCATAGAGTGTGCCATAGGAGACGCCCAAGATGCGTGCGGCTTTCTTCATTTCAAGTCTTTTGTTCTTGATGGCATCGAGTACCTGCAGAGCGAAGTGAGGAGAGAATTGTAAGCTAACTCGCTATATCAACTCAGTATATCTTGCTCTCTGAGAAAACTTACGCGCTTGGTGAACGGCTCCTCCCAAAATTGCGGACGGCGCCCCTTGGCCAAATAGTCATCCATTTTGATGACATCCTGCCACTGCGATAGCTCCTCATTGGTTAGACGCAACTCGGCCGCATCGTAATCTTCCAGCTTGACCTCAGCATAGTCCCCAGCTGCACCGCTATGATCACTACCAGCACCACCACCACCACCACCTCCTCCTCCTGCTCCTGCTCCGCCACCTGCTGTCTGATTGCTGCCATTTGCTGTGGCAACAACAACAGCTGCTGCCGCTGCAGCTGCCGCAGCCGCCGCAACACTAGGTGCAAAATCGTGGGCCAAGAGCATGCCATGATCGTTCATCAAGTAACCAGATGTTGTGGCATCTCCATCCGGTGCATACTTGCCCGCAAAGCTGGCGGGCAACAGAGCCGTGGAACGCGGCGATTCGACACGATTGGCCACCAAATGCTCATTCTCAATCTCATCGACCGGCTGTGACAACGTTTGCTGCTGCTCCACATCCACCTGTTCCTCCTCCAGCTCTGCCGGCAGCTGTTGTTGTTGCTGCTGCTGCTGCTGTGCTCGCGACGTCTTCTCGGTGGACTTTTCACGCTCCCCGTACAGCCGACGAGTGGCATGACGCAGTTTTCCATGACGTTCACGTCGTTCCTGCGACTTCTCCTGTTTCTTGACGGTGTTTGTGAGCGGCATGGACGATGTTGCTGTTGCCGCTGCTGCTACTGTTGCTGTTGCCGCTGCCGGTTCATTACTCCCATCGTTGCTCAAGTCTAGCTCTGTTTTGAGCTTGCCCCCATCGCTCAGCGTGGGCGTCACATCGGCAGCGCCGTTTCGCCAATCTGGTGCCACATCCTGCTCACCCTCCACGGACTCCGTTAGAGACGTCTCTAACTGCCTCTGCTGCTGCTGTTGTTGTTGCTGTTGCTGTTGCTGCTGACGCAGACGCTGACGCTGCTTGGGCGGGCAGGCGGCGGGTGGCGAGGACAATGTGGCGGAATGTGCGCTAGACTGCGGCGCCTCAGCGTAGACACGCCCAGACTCCAAAAACGCCCGCTGTGCCGGTTCCAAATTTGCGGCATATTGAACCAGTTTGCGTCTGCCAGGAAAATAATAAGAATGAAATATATAAAAAAAAAATTAATTATTAAATAATACGCAACAAATTAAATAATATTATAATTTTCAATATATTTTCTGGTTCGCCGAAATTGGGGCACTTAATAACTATGCTGTGCATTTTTTAATAATATTTTATAGCATTAAATATTTCTCCCAATTAATATATATAAATGTATTCCGACTAAATAAATGAACATCAAAAAAACCCTTGAATAACTTTATGATTTTTTTCTTATTTATATAGAATTATAAATGTCATTCAAAGCCATTTTTACTCTTTTCTATTTCGTATTTCTTTCAATTATTATTTGAAGAATTTTGAAACTTTTGTCAGTTGTCATTTGTCAAGTGAGTATATTCATAAGATGGCACTCACACATTGAATACATCGTATGTGTCATCCAGTGGCGGACGACCACGCTTACGCTTCGGTCCCAAATAGGGATCAACTGGCGCTGGGCACTCCAAACTGGTGTTGTGACTCGGTAGGGGCGTCAATGTTGGCATACGAACACCGGCTGTTAAGCCGAGTGCATTCTCCACCAGGGCTGCTGGTGAATGGCGCTCATGATCGCGATCGGAGCTGAGCTTTGACTGCATCTGCAGATGCTGGGCCGTCTGCTGCTGGTGTTGCTGCTGATGTTGCAGCAGCATGTCCTGGGCATAGCTCTCGGCGAGGCTGCGCGGCGGCGAATGGAACTCGGCGGCGGCCATCGGTGGTGGCGGTCCATCCTCATCGTCGCGCCAGGTGACCTCGGCTAGACCCTTAATTTTGAGATCATCGGCGGTCTTCAGCAAGGAGGGCAAACTTGCCTGTAAATCACAAATCACAGATCACATATTGGCTCCAAGTAGAGAAATTATCCATATATATATATCTATGTCTCTATATATATATATATATATATATAAATATATACTAACATGCTCCACATTTATTTCACCCTTGTACATGAACTCGATGAGACACTTGACCTCGGCAAAAGTCACATCCTTCATAATAATAATGGGATCCCGTTCACTGGCATAGTTCGACAGTACCGAGTCGAAGAAGGTGCTGCAGGCACAAAGGACAACACGATGGGCCCGTATCAATTGTCCCTCACAGGCTAATGTCACATCACAGAAGCATCCACGGTCCAGCAGCTGCGAGAACATCGTCTGTAGATTGCTATGATGGTATTTCCATCGCAGACAATACTGCTGCGGTAGCATCGTGACCAAATCCGGATGCTCGCCCCCCTCAATTGATCAAAGATCTAAAATGAACCGAACGGCAAGTAAACAAAATTATTTCACATGAGTTTCGCATTACAACGAGACAGTTTCTGTCTGCGTTATATGAGGCCAAGCAAACAGATAAACAATGTCAGCTTTATTAATATTAAGTTATTCTACTATTGATGTTATATAAGGAAATAATGGTAATCGATAATTATAATTAATCAGAGTGGAAGCAAACATATATATAAATATATACATATATATGCGCCATTTCACAATAACGATCGATACAAATCGATTAAAAGCTTTCGCTATATATGTTGTATACCCAGACATATTACTGATGATGAACTGTGCAAATTCCACTAATTTCGGATGAGAAACACAGATTTTGTTTTACCAAGAGCAAGCCTCAAATCAAATATTTTAAGCCTAGATTAAGGGTATCTCCTAATCGACTAGTTAAACTAGTTGCATCAGGTGCAAGATACCACCTGGTTACAAAATTCTCACTTCAATAGCATTCTCATTCAATAGAGTCTCAGTCTGCTTAATGACAGGCAATGTCATCGGCAATTTAAATCTCTTCATTTTCAGGACATCTTGCACAATTTGAAGCCTGCAATATTCCCATCAGGAGTTTTGACTCATTTACAAACAGTGAATGGAGATTTTACTTATATACAGAGACAATGGAAAATACGTTTCTTGTCATAGCTTGACAGTAATGAAACAAATAAATGCGGGCGTGTCGTGGGACCCAGTAAATTGTGGTTCTATTGGTATTTCCAAATAAATAAAATGTCTATTTTAAGGCGTTCCACACGCACAACAACAACAATATTGGAATACCCTCTACGAGGGCATACAAAACATATCAATCTACAAAATGTTCTCAATTTCAAATTGTAGTTGGGTGCATGGCAAGTGCTGTAGCGAAGGAGTTAAAATACAGCAACACAGCTGTTTGAAAGTAATTATTATTAATAAATAGTACCTTATGTCGCCCTTAAGTCGTTTAGTGTTTCAATATAACAATATTTCGAGCTCTAAGCCAGCCAGGTTCTAAACAACAATGTGTTCAGCAACGCAGAAACTCGAAACATGAATTTCATTTATTAAATATGTATGTAATTAGTATATAATTGTAATACAATCGCATTTCTTGTATACAAATGTCAACTTACAGACGACCAAAAGTTTCGAGTATCGTTCCTTTGTTCCCAGGAATTTATATTTGAAAATTGCAGCCGAGCTACATATTTGTGGCCAAGTGAAAGTTTGAATGAAATGCGCACACATAAATACTTGTACTTATTTGTATATATTTATTATGTAAATACATATTTATATTCGAAATATATTTAAATGAAAGAAGTGACTTTCTTACACAATGTTTCTATGACAAGTCATTTGGAAAATGTTACAAGCAGACTCTGACTCAAGAGTGAGGGCACTGCTTCTAAAAAAATTACCCGGCAATGAGGAGACTGAGACACTCTCAGTTGAGAAGTAAGAGTAAATTTTACTTTGCTATTTTGCTACTCATGGCAGGTCTGGACCAGGAGCCAAAGCACAATTTGATAGTGAGAGAGTTGCCACTCAAAAACTCGACCAAAAAGAAGAACAATAATACTAATAATGACCAGCAATTTTTGTTTAATTCAATTCAATAACAAAGAGTTGAAAAATTCTATGAAATAACATGATTTTTACGTCTAAAAATGCATCCCTTTCATGATTGCTTCTTCTTTTTAAAACTTCAACAGAAAAAGTTAGAAAAGTTTTAGTTTTTTAACCGATTCAGCTTTGACAACAGTTTTAGATACATTTTGATTGTTCAGTTTTATTTCTGGCGATTACATACATTTACGCTATTACCAATTTGTGGTCAGGGTATATAATTTATAAAAATTTGACTTAGTTTCACCTTAGTTAAATTTTTTTGTAAGCACACAGGAAATTTTCAAGCATGATTTTCATTCAGACTGCATTTCAAACTGGGCAGAGCACTTTATGGATTCGCGTGCAACTATTCACATTCACATCAAAAGCTATACGCAAAAATAATAAATGGTAAAAACAAAAGCCCCCCTGAACCTATCCACAAAATAAGACGAACAATGGGTTTCAAGGCCGAATGTTTAAAGTGCTGCACACAAGTTTTTTTAACTTCAAATATTTGCAAAAGCACTCAATAAATTTGAATTTGAAACAAATAACTGAACAAAATGAGCTTACGCAAAATATGCAATACTTTATTGAATATGCGAGGCAAGCTTAAGCCTGGTTGCCAATTAGAGATAAAATATAAATATTTTTAACCAAAAATATGTAGTAATAACGTCCACATATGCATTTAAGTACGTATGCAGCATGGCAGTCGTAGAATGAAAAGTATCTGTATCATGAAAAAAAAATATTTAAAAAAAACATATAAAAAAATAAAAATAAAAAACAAAAATAAAAAAAGCTCTAGCTATAAATTTCACGAATTTCGTTGCCCAACCCCTGGGCTACCCTTTTTTGTGAGAACATACCCAGCATTTCTTTAACGTGAGACCCGCTTTTTTTTTTTTTGTGAAAAGCACTTTTAGTTATAATACTAATAACACATATAAGGGTAACAAAATAAAAAAACTTTGCTTTGCTTCTGCGTTTTATGTCAAAATGCGGAAGGCACCGGAAATGAAACACACACACACACACTCACACACATACAGGCAATAAGTATTAACTAAAAAGGACACACAGTCAGCCACAGCTAAAGAAGAAAAATGTGACCCAACCAATTCAAACGCTGTAAATAATTAAATAAATAAATAAATATTAATATTAATATTTTCTTTTTCGTAACTCAATTTCGCAAATTCCAATTCCAGTTTCTGCTTCAGAAAAATAATTGAAATATTTTGAAAAAAAAAACAGCAAATAATTCACTTGATATCACTGTTAACCCTTATGGTTTACAGGGTATCAGAAAAACGACCAGTTAGGAATTTGGCAACGGTGAGGGTCACGAGGAGCAGCCAACATTTAAAAACGACCGTAAAAAATTTCGTTTCACTTTTTTTTTTTTTTTTTTGAGAAAAGAAATTGACGACATGAAACAGAGAAAGAAGATGGCAACCGAAAATCAGGATGATAAAGGAATGCTGCCACATAAAATGCGCAAATGAAGGAATTTCTCAAAACTCTAGTAAATAGAGGACAACATGCACACATATCTATATATATATATGTATATATATGTGTGTATATATACATATAGTGTGTGTGTATGTGCGCTTGTAGATAAAAAGGGGTGGGGGAGTTGAGTGGGCAGAGAAGAGCAGCAGTGTCCAGCTAGTGGGAGTCACCCGTAACAAGAAACCATTTTTGCCAACAGTTTTTGCTGCAAAGGGTTTTTGATCCCTACACACACACACACACACACACATACACACAGGCACACATACATATATATACCGCTTCACATACTTTATATGAGCCGTTACACATTTCAGCTCCTTAAAAAAAAAATATATATATATATACACAAAAAAAAATGAAAAAAAAAAATTACAAATTTACAACGAGAACACAAAAAGAATGGCATATAAAAAATACATGTTTTATTGTAGTATATTTTTCCCGCCATCGCTTCGTTCGTTCGTTACACACGACCCAAAACGTCAGCACTACCCTCCAAAGCCATCACACCCACCCCCCTCCACTCCCCACCCCAACCTTTCACACACACACACACACACACATAACACCCAACGCACCCCAACCTCCAACGTAACCAACTTGAACTCAAGGCCCCCAACACACACACATACACACACACACACACACTCACTCACACTCACACACGCAGACAGAGACTGAGCTGACGTTGCCTTCTCCACTTCTTTTGGATTTTCTCATGGAAAATATTTTTCAGTTTTTATCACATTTTTCTTCTTTGGATTTCGCTTTTTTCGTTTCGTTTTTTTTTTTTATATGTATATATATATATATATATATATATAAACATTTTTTTCCTGTTGTGTTTGAGCGCGCTTTATTTTCTGTTTTCTGTTTTTATACCCTTACCACGTGACCACTATAAATATGCCAGACAATGTGCGACCAACTCGAAAGTCTATAAAATAGTAAATATATACTATCTTCTGCTATATTTTCAAATTTCATATTGAAATTCTTGTAAAAGTACTAAACTACAAGCTTCACTGTGCACTGTGTGCCTGAGCTAGACAAGAGACAGGTGGACAGTAGAGAAATACTAAGACTAAGGAAAGTCCTTCCAATTATAAACTTGGCTAAAGCATGTTTTTTGCTTTTTTTTTTTTGGTATTGTCACGATTCATTACAGTTGATAGTGTAATATTTGGGTTTGCAGTATAGGAATCTGGATTTAAATTTAGTCGAGTAAGAGTCAAAGTTGAAGTGGTTTGCTGTGCACATAAAATGCGTTGCAATTTCCTCAGCGCAGAATGCTTACTTTTAACGTAAACTGGCAACGGGTACACAAAGAAAAAATTGGCTTACAATTTCAACACATTGTCAACAAGTTGTGCAAGTGAGTTCTATCCTTACATTTAACTGTCAAACGCAAAAAGCCTGTCAAGCATGTAAATAGCTGTCGACTTCAGAAGTATTCAGCTTAGAATTGTTGCATAACAATATTTTAAAGTGCATTTTACAGTCATCCAAGGATAAAAGAAGACTTTAGAAGCCTTACTGTCCACAACTAACAAACACTTTAACATATTCTCAAAACTAGACTATTTTAAGACGGGAGAGGAAAGGTCCAAGTTGCATAGAGTATCAAAGCACATCATCATATATCAAAATCGTGGAAAATCTTAGCATGTAACTAATGACATTTTAAATATTTGTCACACGTGATAGATATTTCATACAGTTTATAATTGGCATGTTTATATATATACTGGCAGAAATATGAGCAAATTGCAATTGAGAAAAATAGCGATCACTTTAACATGTGAAACTCGGTTAGACTCGGAAACAAAATTCCAACGTTTTG